ACCAGTGACCTGATTGATAGGCCATCACATGAGCACTGAACTGAGAGGCCATCACTTGGGATCCTAAATCTTCTGCAGCTGACTCCTCTCACCCCAGGGAAGGCACTTGCATTAGTCACTTGCCTAACAGATGTGACAAATACCTTGACAGAAGCCACTTACAGGAAGAAAGGTTTAGTTCATCTCGCAGCCCCAGAGTTTTCAGTCCACCGTGGTGGAGAAGCAGAGCAGAGTTCACCACTGGTGACCTATTTTACCAATCAGGCCCCACATCCAAAGGTTTCTCAGCCTCCCAAACAGCACCAGGAACCGTATCCAAATGTTTGAATACGTGTGCCAGCAGAGGTGATTCCGCATTCAGGCCATGCTGGCCCTGTACCTCCACAGACTCTTAGAAAAATGAACGAGTGGACCAGGTGCTGCAGCTGCCTGCCTGAGGCTCCGGACGGAAGCTGTTCTTGTCACTGAGTCATGAGTTTAGGTATTAAGTCAGAAAGTGACAGGACCGTTCACACCTGCAATGCCAGTGCTCTGTGGTTAGAGCCAAGGAGAATAAGAGATCAGGCTAGCCTTGCCTATCCTTGCCTATCTAGCAAGTCAGGGCTAGCTGGGCTGCATCAGGCCCAATCTCTCTCTAGAGTTCCACATCTCGTTGAATGAATGAGTCCCTTGGAATGTCTGATGGCTTTATTACCAGTCAGCTCACTGGGGTTCTTGTGCTCTGTCTGAACGGAAGTCACTCACAGGCAAAGCATAGTTTCCTCTGGGTCTCCAGTTCCAGGCCCCTGAGTGTCAAGGCCCTGTGGACCGACAGCCCCGGGATTGGCTCCAAGCTCTATGTGCCGGAGATGTGTAGCTTTAGGTGAGGCATGTGCTTCTCTGGGCTTTGACTGGTAGTGGCCCTGCACTCTGGCCAGAAATTCACGATTCACAGCAGCAGCTCATACGATGGTGACAACAGATCACAGTAAGACAGCTCCCTGGGGCCCTCTGACCTTAATGGCAGCTCCTTATTAGGGCTCCTTACTTTGGCTCTGCATGGCTTCTGCCCCGCCCCCAGTCCTACTAAGTTCTCAGCCTTCACTATCCACTTCCAAAGTCCTCCCTCATGTGCCTTCTGGATGTCTTCAGTCACTGCCACCTCTGATCTTTGGTACCAGAGATAAGTAGATAAAAGACGATACTCAGAAAAGCCTTTTATTGGGCCTAACCTTGCTTCCCAAGGGTCATCATAGGCAGGTGTCTGTCCAGTGACTGCAAGAGGGAGTTAACAGCATAGCTATGTGGACATAGGCAAGGGGTCATGCCGAGATGATTGCTCACTCTCACCTGTCACAGTACCGTGTGCTCTTCTATAAGGGCCAACCACAGGCTATGTAGGTATGACTTGCTCACCTGATGCTCACAAACTGAGTCATTAGGAGAGTTGTCTTCCTCTTCTGGACCTGATTGAAGACAGCTTCTGAAAGCTTCCAGAGCAGAAGAGGTAGGCTCTGGAGAAGATGGATAGTCAGTGGAGTCTTCTCATGTTCGCCAAGGCTTGCTAGCCTGAAATGGGAGTTTTCTGAACTGGTGCAGTCTGTGTCTGAATGAGGCTTTCTGAAGCTAGGTTCTGTCTTCAGTAGTCATGGTTACAGTGTCCCTTCCAGATGAAGTATGGCTCTCTCTGGGCAAATTCTTGCTCCAGGTTGCCAGGCATAAGGGAAGAGTCTGTCAAACAGCCATTCCCAACAGCTTCATTCATTCACAGAAAAGCACCAAAGGTCAAAGGGCATTGCAGGAAAAGGCTTATCGAAAGCTGAGCTAACATGCTCAATGACATACAGAGTTCAGCAGAGCGTGACAGGGCTGGGTCCTTGTCCTGGTAGCCTAGGAAGAGCTGGGTCCCGCTGAATATCTCAGTGGTACAGACGTGGAAGAGGAGACTGGAGAGGAAGCTAGACGGACAGGTACCAGGTCTCTGGGCTCTGTTTCCATCATAGCACCTCCTCCTCTGGAGCTATCTGGATATAACCGGGTCACCTAGTCCTCTAGCAAGATGGAGTCAGAGGCTTAAACATTGAAAACCACATCATCCTCAACTGTCATTTAAAATCTTTTAAACCTAGTATCTTTCCTTTTTAAACAAATCTTAGTTGGAATGACACTTAGTTGGAATGTATTCTAAAAGAAATACTTTCTATATTTTAAGCACATGTTACTGTGTGTAGTTTTTAAAAGATATAACACACACACACACACACAGAGAGAGAGAGAGAGAGAGAGAGAGAGAGAGAGAGAGAGAGAGAGGGAGGGAGGTTTAACAAAAAACTCCTCCCTCTCACCTCAGATACTCAAGGAGCCCAGTCTGAGGGGTCCTCTGTCCACTAATCAGACAGTTTTACTGGTGTGCTCCAGGCTCTTCCCTGCTGCTGTTTTGCCTGACTGAGCTTTCCTGGAAGAGCCCACAGCCTGTACTTTGGGTGGGAGATGAGATGGCCAGGGGTTCTACTCAGTCTGGGACTGGAGGGATTCCAGAATTCTCTGATCACACACATTAAAATAAAATAATAAAATAAAATAAAGAGGAAAAGGATTTGGGAAAGAGGGTAGGAGGGAGGGGAAGGAGGGAGGGGAAGGAGGGAGGTACTGACATTGCCTCAGCTTGGTCCCACTTATGACCTCTAGGGGGCGTTCTACAATGCCCCACCCAAGGAGCACATTATCTCTTTTTTTTTTAAACTTAATTTAATTTAACTTACATCCTGAACACAGTTTCCCCTCCCTCCTCCCAGTCCCTCCCTCCTCATCTCCTATCTTCCCCACACCCATCCACTCCTCCATTTCTCCTCAGGAAAGGGCCAGCCCCAGCCTCAATGGATATCAACCAGCCACAGCATCTCTTCGGCATCATAGGACTAGGTATCTCTTCTGTTAAGGCCAGACAAGACAACCCAGCAGGGACAAAGGGTCCCAAAGGCAGGCGACAGAGTCAGAGACAGCCCCAGATCCCGCTGTTAGGAGTCCCACAAGAAGACCAAGCTACACAACCGTAACATGTGCAGAAGCCCTAGGTCAGGCCTATACCCAGGAGCACGTTCTAAGATGGCCACTGCCTGGCTGAGAGCTGCTACGGGCACGGACCCAGGACTAATAAAGCCACCTGGAGAGGGCCAGAACACATTTCTTATGAGGATATTTTGTATATAATATATGCATATATTTTATTTGGGATGGACATGTCACTAGGAATTGAATCAAAAGTTGTACTACTGGCCCATATCCCAGCCCTTCTTTTTATTTTAAGACAGGTCTCATTGCTACCTAAGCTAGCATTGCACTCATTCTGAAACCCAGGCTTTTTTATTTTGTTTTTGGCTTTGGTTGGATTGGAATGTAGCCCAGGTTGGCCTCCAACCTCTGGTGTTCCTTCTCCCTCAGCCTCCCATGTAGCTGGGATTCCAAAGCCTGTACCTCCAAACTCTTTTATTCTTTTATTGTTTTACAATTTGTTGTTATTGTTGTTAAATTTCCTTGAGATAGGGTTTCTCTCTGTAACCCTGACTGTCCTGGAACTCACTCTGTAGACCAGGCTGGCCTCAAACTCCAATATTGACCCGCCTTTGCCTCACGAGTGCTGGGGTTGAAGGCATGCACCAGCCACCACACCTGGCCGATTTTATTATTTTAGTCTGGGAAATATGTGTACGTTTGGCCACAAATGTACATGTAGAGGCCAGAGGACAACTTTCAGGAGTGAGTTTTCTTCCTTCTACCATATAGAGCCAGTGTTTGGAACTCAGGGCCATCTGGCTTAGTAGGAAGTGTCTGTGCTGAGCCATCTTGCTGGTCCAGACCCAGTTATTTTAAAACATGGGACCCTTTATTCTTTTTTTTTTTTTTTTGAGACAGGGTTTCTCTGTGTTGCCCTGGCTGTCCTGGAACTCACTCTGTAGACCAGGCTGGCCTTGAACTCAGAAATCCACCTGCCTCTGCCTCCCAAGTGCTGGGATTAAAGGCGTGTGCCACCACCGCCCGGCGGGATCCTTTATTCTTGGGTCTCTGGGTACACCTTGATTTATGAGGATGCCTAACTGAAGAGCCTGCCCTTTTCAGACCACAAATTCAATACTGCATTCATGTCAGGGGAACAGGCTCAGAATTGTCCTGGGGTTAATCAAATCACAGGACTCATCATGTAAATGACCAGCACTGAAAACGGATAAAATAATGCTAGAACTAAGAAAACACACTTCAGACGAGTTCTCTGTTGAAGTCATCTTAAAGCCGTGGGCTGAGCCATTGAAGACAGCTAAGGAAGAGCCTGGCTCTCTGAGTTATCCTGGCACTGTGGCCAGGCCAGCTCCCAGTGCAAGCCCATGTGCTAATCCTGGGTGCTGACAACCTCAAGCCGTGCGTGGGCGACAGTCAGGTGTTCATGGCCCAGGCAGCCTGCCTCCCTTCCTCACAGTGGCTGCAGGATTGCTCTGTCTAAACAGCAGGAATAAGTTCCCTTTGTCACCGCGTCTCCATGGTAATTGCACACGTGATCGTCTTTTGGAGTTCTTGGCAAACCTGTGGCTGTTGGGTTTGGCTTTTACATTCCAGACTGTGAAGGAAACCGGAGGGAAGGAATTACTCTTCCCAAGAGACTCGGACTGTTTCCTGAAACAATTTGGGAGGTGCATCTCACCCGAGTGGTTTGGGGAGCCTTAACCCTGACTTTTCAGAACACATGCTGACAAAAATGGGAGTTGAGGTAGCTTTCAGCCAGTGGTGATTTTATGGAAAGATTCAGGTATGCAGAAAGTTAGGTTAATGGTTTGTGGTTTGTGAACAGTGACAGATGAAATGGTCTCTGAGGTGTGCATGGGAATACAAGCATAGGGACGGACAGGAAGCTGGACCCACCACGGGGCTGCTACATGGGTATTCATGGTCTGGCTCTGTTGGGTTTTGTAAACTTGAAGTTTCCCACAAGACTAAAAAAAAAAAAAGTTTTAAAATAAAAAAGGCTCTGCTCTACCCAGAGAGGCATTGCAGGTGTGACTGATGTGTTACGTGTGTGTCAGTAGGCGGCAGAAAGGAGAGAGGTTATGTCTATGCTCAGGATTCTGACCTATGAACATCTGCATTATTAGTAACCTAACATTCTCTGAAAAAGGCGAGACTGAGATGACCCCTGATTGCTGCCATTAATGTGCAAATGGGGGATAGCACTCCTGAGACCACTCCTGAGATGACCACAGACACTCGGAGACCCAGAGTGCTGCTAAGACGAGCAGATAAGTGGTAGAGAAATGGAAGAGAAAGAGAAACAGAAGGATGTGGGCACAACGAGGTAGTGAGGAACAACCTGATGTGTGTCACCAGTGATGTCACCTGGGACCATGGTGTGGGGTCCTGGCCTGTGCTGCCACAGGAGGCTACCTCTGGGTTCATGGCCCTGCAGCAGCAGGCAGAGGTCCTTGGTCTGGGCTGCTACTGTCTAAGGGATGGGCAGAACTGGCCCCACAGCTCACCTGGCCATTGTGAGAAAGCTAGCCCCAGGAACATGAGAGCAAGAGAGCTGACCTGCGCCAGCCAGCTGCAGTCAGTACTCAGGAGAGCAGCCGCCACACATTGTGGGCCTTGTGGGTAAGTCATCCCCGAGGATACAAGCATGCTAGAGCTGGCACTGCCGTTCATTTCCTGTGTGGTGGTGTGGATGAGGGAGAGATCCCCTCTTGTCCCCTCCCCACCACCTGCCACAGTCAGGAGACCTGGCCCTAGGATCACAAGAGCAGATCAACAGCTGCGGCCTCAGGGGAGTCGACCCTGCACCTCGCCTGGGCAACACAGTAGGGCTGACACTGGTGGCAGGGATGTGGGCCAGCCAGCCCCAAAGGCACAAGCAGGGGAGAGCTGTCCCCAAGGTCATCAGAGTGGGAGGACTGGCCCAACCCTTCACCTACTGCAGCAGTTGGGAGAGTGGGACCTGCCGAGGCCTGGACAGCACAGTAGAGCTGGCTCTGCCACCCCTAGGGCGTGAGTGCAGGAGAGCCTGCCCTCCTTTCTTGTCCCTTGCTATTTATTGCAAGCAGGAGAGCTGGCTCTATTGTCATTGTTTCTCACTAACTACAATGCTTGGAAAAGTGGGTCCTGCACCTTGCTTGAGCATCAGGGTAGAGCTAGCCCTGCTTGGGGGTTTGCGGGTGAGCCAGCACCCCCCCCCAGGGCATGAGAGTTGGACAGCCAGTGGGCTGATCAGCATAGATACCTCTCAGGCCCAAATCCAGAGCTTTGAATTGGCCCACCCCAGCATCTACCCCATTGATGGACTGCTGACTTGCATGGAGGGGTCAGTCCTACAGACCGAAAACTACAGGGTCTCCGTGACACAGGGCAACAACAGGAAATAGAAGAGGAGCCCCGGTGAGGATCCTGTAGTGATGGTGTAGCAGAAGCCAAAGGCCTTGTACCAGACCAATGAGTCGCTGCAGTGAACATTTGCAAGCAAAGATGTGTGGACAAAAGGGTATGCTGTGGGACACACTGTGACACAGTACAACTTCCATGAGAGGTTTTATTCCTCTGCTGGGGGGGAGGTTGCAAGGGTGGAGAGCAGAAATGAGGCGAGGGGGAGATGAATGGGATTGGGTGCATGATGTGAAATTCATAAAAAAACAATAAAACAATAAAAAAAAACATAGTGATTCTTTGAATGAATGCGGCATTAAGGTGAACGGAGTTCAAAGAATCTTATGCCAGACAGCGCTGACCTGAAGGCAGAGATGGTGCAGGTTTAGGGGTGGGATTGAGGAGAGAGACACTCCAGCAGGTCAGCTCTGAGGGCTTCACACAAGAGCCCCTGTGTCTGCGGAGGGTACAAGTCTAAGATCTTAACCCCATTTCATCCCAGAACTCCCTGATTTGTCAAGGCTGACTGTACTATCTAGAGAAACAGGGAAAAACAAATTCCAGGGATGGGAGAAGCTGAAATCTTGATGTTCTGAACTTCAACGGAGAAGGATTTGGGATATAAAATTTGGCACTGTGTGAACATCTGTGATCCCAGCACTTGGGCGGTGGCTGCAGGAGGTTCAGAAATTCTGGTTCACCCTTGACTACGTATGAACTTCAAGGCAAGCCTGGGCTATGTGACTCCATAAGATAGTGTCTCTGTCTTTCTTTTTGATGCAAGTAATTTCTTTTTCTTTTTCTTTTTTTGTTTTTTGGGTTTTTTTTGTTTTTGTTTTTTTGTTTTTGTTTTTGTTTTTCGAAACAGGGTTTCTCTGTGTAGCCCTGGCTGTCCTGGAACTCACTCTGTAGACCAGGCTAGCCTGGAACTCTCAAACTCAGAAATCTGCCTGCCTCTGCCTCCCAAGTGCTGGGATTAAAGGTGTGCGCCACCACCGCCCAGCGCTGCAAGTAATTTCAAGTCCAGCAAACTCTCCAGGCTGTAAGCGGGCTGTAACCAATTCCACTCCTGGGCCCAGGTACCCCAAAATTGAGCTCAGCCTTGAAAGATGATCAGGGAACACCTAAAGAGAAGGAATTTTGTTTCTGCTATTTCAGGGACCCAGGACTTGCTTTAGTTATCATAAACAATGGTGTTTGTTCTTGAAGGAGCAGGGTGGTGTGGCTTTGATGGCTTTTAAAAGGGCTCAGAGTACTGAGCGAAGTGCTGAATCTGTAACTCTGTAACTCAGTTCCACGTGATCCTGGTGAGTACCTTGGTTTCTTATCAGGGGTGAGAGCTGGCCATCCATGCCTAACAGATGGCACGGGGTGAGATGAAGCCACCTGTACAGATGCTCAGCGCAGCACCCGGAACAGGGGACTACAGCGTGCTATGCTTGTCCATCCAACGGTCTAAGTTCACCTACAGGGTAAACAGGAAATGGTTTATTGGTTCTCATAATCATAATCTGTGAGTGGGTTCACATGTGGGAGAGGGTAACATGTGTGCACATGCTTGCCCATGTCAGATAGTCATACCAGGACCTCAGGTGTTCTCAGATAACCTTTCACCTTTGGTTTGAAACAGAGTCTCTCATTGAGCGGGAACTTTACCACTAAGCTAGGCTAGCTGGCCCGCATGCAAGCTCCAGGGACCAGCCTGTCTCTGCCTTCCACATCACTATTGCTGGGATGGATAACAAGTGTAAGCTACTATATCTGGCTTCTTATGTGGGTTCTGAGAATGGAACTCAAGTCCTGTATTTTCAAGTCAGGCACTCTATTGACTGAATCATCTTCCCATATTACTTCCCAGCATCCTGCTGGGCATCGCTGATCCTTTTTCAGATCTTGCCTCACTATAACCTTTGTGAGAGTGAAGGTCCTCTCTTACATACCTTTGAAGGTCCCCTCTATGGGCTTCCCAGGCATGTATAAAGCCCATTGTCTTCCATCTCCATAACACCTGTCAGTCAGCTCCCTGACCCTCCTCTACTACCGTCCAGGCCTGACTCACCACAATTCCTTGCAAAATTCCTACGGAGCCACCTGTAGCTATCTTCTTTTTCTGTCACTCCACACTCCATAATCCACCCCCCACATGACAGCTGGAGTGTCATGCCTGTGGTAGTTTATGTGACATGTGTGTGGGGCCGTAGGAATGGTCCCCATAGACTCTTATGTTTGAATGCTTGGCCCATAAGGAGTGGCACTATTAGCAGGTGTGTCTGTGTCACTGGGAGGGGTGAGCTTTAATGTCTCCTATGCTCAAGCCCCACCCACTGTGGGACACTGCTGCCTGCAAATCAAGATATAGAACTCTCAGCTCCTTCTCCAGCACCATACCTGCATGGATGCTGCCATGCTTCCCACCTTGATGATAATGGACTGACTCCCTGAACCTGTAAGCCAGCCTCAATGAAATGTTTTCTTTTATAAGAGTTGCCTTGGTCATGGTATCATGGTGTCATGGTGTCGTGGTGCAATAAAACACAAACTAAGGCAATGTCATACACCCCTGTTCCTAAACAGCACGGAAGTGAAACTCACCACTTCCCACACATTACAGGGCCCACCAGGGTCCAATCCTGGCCGAGCCCCCCTCCCCCAGCTTCATCCTTATCCCAGTCTGTCTGGCTCCCTGGAACTCCGGCCACAGAAGCTTCAACACCCCACCCACCCATACACAGCCCTCTATGGTTTTGTAGACAGGCTGGACCCAGCTAGTAGGGTCATTTCTCTTCCTCTCTAGATGATGGTTAATGTTGGTTGGCAACTTGACTGGTTTCAGAATGCCTTCCTGGTCCCAGGGCTTTAGTGAGGCACACCTTTGAATGGATCTGTAAGGGCATTTGCAGAGAGGATTAACTGATAGTGGAAAGCCAACCCTGAAGACACTAGCACAGCCCATGAACCAGGGACCCACACTGGTTAGAATGGTATAACAAGAGAAAGCCAGGCGAGCATTCCTTTCTCAGCTTCCTGACCCACTGATCTGTAATGGGTAGCCTCCCAGTCCTGCTGCCATGGAGACGCCTGCCATCAGGGACTGCATCCTCTCCTTTCCTAAATTGCTGCTAGTTAGTTGTATATTTGTTCACAGAAGTGAGACAAGCAACTCAGTAATGTGCAGTGTGGTTCTAGTTGGGGTTCCTTTAGCTGTGTGGTTGTGTTGGGTTGGGACATCCACTGTAGCTTGAGTGTCCACTGGACATCTCTTGCTCTTTGGTCTCTTCAGGAACAGCCTGAACCCTCTGCATGTTGGCTCAGGACTCTGGACTCGGGTAAGTGGTACTTGGAAGTATCAGATCTCTTGCCACTTCAGCTGAGTTCTGTGGATCACAGCAAGCCTAATTCAAGGAATATGGAATGATCTCTCTCTCTCTCTCTCTCTCTCTCTCTCTCTCTCTCTCTCTCTCTCCCTCTCTCTCTCTCCCTGTGTGTGTATGTATTTATGTGTGTATGAGTGCATGACTGTGTAAGTACATGTTCATGTGTGTGTGACCACATGTTCATCTGTGTGCATACAGTTGTGGAGATTAGAGGCCTACCTTGGTTGCCATCCCTGGGACCTGGGCTCGCCTGTTAGGCTGTGCTAGCTGGCCAGCAGGCCCCAGGGATCGTCTTATTTCCCACCCCACCCTACCCTACCCTTGGAGAGATGGGATGTGCCGCTAAGCCTGGCTTTCTTGGTGGGTCCTGGGACCTAACT